AGGAGACAGCAACTGTGAGATTAGGATCCCAGAACCCTTTACATATTCTTTGGAAACATTCACTCATTCACTCATTCATTTATAGAACTAATTAGGGGCCAACTGTCTGCAACATTATGGTCTGTACTGGGAGTCTGAAATCTAGTGGAGAACTGAGGAATACACCCCATGAGCTATCCCAAAACTTCCTCCAGGCAGGCTATTGTTTCTTGTTCCCAGGGAACAAGAAGTTCCTTGGAGTTCCTGGAGGATGCTCTTAGTTCAGGGAAGCAAACCTCCTTCAGCTGGGGGATCAAATTATTTCTAGACAGGGATGATTTCCTCAACGTTCACTGAGAGCTTGAGACTTCTCACCTGTGCTGGAGACACTATTTGTATCCAACCGCAGGGTTGAGACCATGAGGACTTGAATCAGTCCTTTTGGGTCCAAATATCTGACATGGTTCAACTGCTACTTAAACTCTGCTTTTGGGAGAGGATAATGATATCTATTTCATAGTGTTGTACTAGAGATTAAATGTGTGGTCTACTTTAATTTACCCCTAGGATATCATAATCACTATATAAAAACCTAATAATAACAATATGATAATTATCATCTTTCTGAGCAAGAGTACAGGTCCACGGTGGACCACCGCGAGGTCTTAGGTCAGGAGTCAGGGATGCCAGATGCAATACCACATTATGCCGTTAGATGGCACCAAACCCACATTGTCCAAACATTGATTCCTGCCTCCTTGTTCTTAATCACATTAATAATTGGTTCTGCCTAATGAAGATAACTCGGAGAAGGCAATGGCAACCCACTCTGGTACTCTTGCCTGGAGAATCCCATGGATGGAGGAGCCTGGTGGGCTGCAGTCCATGGGGTCGCTAAGAGTCGGACACAACTGAGCGACTTCACTTTCACTTTTCACTTTTATGTATTGGAGAAGGAAAGGGCAACCCACTCCAGTATTCTTGTCTGGAGAATCTCAGGGACAGGGGAGCCTGGTGGGCTGCCCAGAGTCGGACAGGACTGAAGTGACTGAGCAGTAGCAGCAATGAAGATAAACGGGAGAACTATATAAATACATTGCTGTGTTGGGGGAAGAAGGTTCTTTCCTGAACAATAAAAATAGAAGATTATAATTTATAATTTAAGAACAGTGAATATCACTTTTCAAATGTTATCCTTATAATTTAAGAACAGTGAATATGACTTTTCAAATGTTATCCTTATAATGCTACCTGTCAGGGACCATGCAGTAGAAAGATTTCTATGTGACTTTGATCTATCACATCAACCATGATGGGTTCTGTATCATTAGGAAATTTGAGTCAGCATCATACCAAGGGTTAAAAGGCTTCTGCATCCACTTTTACTTTGTTTGAAAAATATTTATTGGGACTTCCCTGGTGGTCCAGTGGTTAAGGGCCCATGCTTCCTGTGCAGTGGTTGCAGGTTCAATCCCTAGTCAGAGAACTAAGATCCCACATGCTTTGTGGTATGGTCAAAAAAATTAAATGAGAGGTATTTATTAAATTACAGTCAGGAACCTCAGAGGCCATCTAGCCCAAAGACTTCCTTTTACACATGATAATATTGAGGTAGAGGGAAATGAAGTGACTTCCTCATATCAAGTCATTGGTCAAAGGCAGTTTTGCTAGGTGCAACCTGGGTCTCCTGACTAAGGGTCTTTCCCGGACCCAGATGACTCTGGATTTAAAGGCTGCTACAGATGTGCTCTGCAAAGAGTTGGACACATGTGCTGATCTGTATGGCTCATGATCATCACACTAGATGGTAAGCAGGAGTGGCATGGACATTGGACACAGCCTGGAAGAGAGATTCACCACAGATTAAAATTCAGTAGTCGGCAGTATGTTGGGTTGTATTAATAGAGGTAGAGCACCTGAAACAAAGAAGGTGATAGTTGTGATCTACCCAGTGTTGGTTATACCAGCCTGGGACATTGCAGCTGTTTTCAGGCAGAACACACTTTCAAAGAAGGGGGTTGGGAGGCTCAAAGAGAAATCTGTCTTCAAATATCTGAAGGGCTATCATGTGAGAGGAAGATTAGATTTCTACTTTGGCCCTGAGGAGTAAAACCAGAACCAGGGAAGCGGCAAAAGAGCACTAGTTTGGAAATCAAACAGGCTTGAGTACACAGGGCCACTCACTAGTTATGACCTTGGGATGCTTTACCTTATTGATGCCAAGTTTGTTCATTTATAGGAGGGAGATTCTATCTTCATTATAGAATTTTCTGGTAAATACATCAATTGGGTATACTAATATTTGGCTGCCTTCCTGAACTAAGGGTTCAGATCTGTAAATGAGCTCCAGTGGACACCTAAGCATGTGTGTGCTGCCATCCGTTCTCCCTCCCCGCTCCGCATGGTCTGGGTTCTCCTTTGCTTGTAAGGGACACATCACCCTGTGTGTGTTGTCTGCCCACATTCCTCGAGTTCCCTGCTTTAGGGCAACCACAGCCCAGAGAAGCACTTCCTCCGGCTGGGCTTCTCCGACTGGCCCTCCTTGCAGCCTGTCCTCTTGGCCCTCCTCCTCTGCTACCTCCTGATTGTAACTGGCAGCTCGGCACTGGTCCTGTGGGCAGTGTGTGCCCATGTACTACTTCCTCTGCCATCTGACCCTGGTGGGCTTCACCACGAGCATGGTGCCACCCCTGCTAGCCCACATGCACCGCCAGGCGCTGAGGAGCGTGGTGTCTGCCTGGCACAGCCGTGTGCATCGCTAGTGCTGGGCTCGGCTGGGTGTGTCCTCCTGGCGGTGATGGCTCTGGACTGGGCGGCTGCTGGTGCAGTCTGCCATCATCCTGGCCAACCTGGTGCCGTGGCCCATGTTGTATGGGGCATGAGGACCAGAGGCAGCCGCAGGAAAGTAGTGGGCACCTGTAGGTCTCACCTGACAGCCATCTGCCTGTCCCATTGATCTGCCATCTACCTCTACCTGCAGCCCACGCATAGCTACAACCAGTGTTGGGCAAATTCATTTGTCTTTTCTACACTGTAGTCACACCCGCCCTCAACCTACTCCTCACCACCCTCAGGAATAAGGAAGTGAAGGGGTCAGCGAAGAGGTACCTGGGGGGGAGTGTGGGGAGAGGGCAAGATGCACAGTGAGTCAGGCGGGGAGGGAAGGAGGGGAGTGTTACCCCGGGGCCCAAGGATGGGAATGCCCACTGGAAAGTCAGTCAGTTTAGCCTTCAGGCTGTTCATTTCTTTATGAGAATCTGTAAGATTTGTCCTTAAGCAGCCAGTGGTTAATGGGGGAGATCCCTTCTCCCATCAGGAAGGGTTCATGTGCTTCTAGGGAAGCGTCTATATCTGTACACATGCAGGTTTAGTGTTGGTGGAAACGGTCCTCAGGCTCTCTCTAAGCCAAGAAAGAGAGAATACATGATTTGAGGAAGAATTTCCCCATCCTCAGGGGATGCTATAAGCAACAACCCCCCCAACCCAGAGATTCCATGTGCTAAAATGATGTACAACATGATCACGGCTGTTAGAAGAGACCATGGAAGATCCCGTGGCCTGCTATCAGAGTATCCCCAAATGACAAGAGGATCATGGATTTTTCCCTGCAGGAGACCCCATCCAGAAGCATAAGCCCTGGTCTCTCATCTCAGGGAATCAGTCCAACCACGTGTCCAATCAGTGTCCCCCTGCCCACTTGAATAGCGCCCACCCCAGAACATCTGAGTCATGGTTGTGATGAGCAACGCCTATGACTGTGCTTTGTACTCAGCGGTGTTATGTTCAGAAACTCTTCTGCAGGAAGTGGTTCTTGAGACAATTGTAAAGAAGGGAAGAGACTAGTAGAGGAGAGGGTGAACATATATCAGGTCAAGAGAAAAGCTTATATATGATCAGGGGGGAGACTTGAAGTGGTGACAGAGGAGGAAAGGAAGGGAATGAGATGGAGGAAGCAGAGAGGGAAAAGCTCCACTAGCCATTCTGGGCAGGGTGTTGGGGTCAACCAAGAAATCAATCTCCACCCCTCTCACTCAACCCAGAGAAGACCTGCTAGAGCCTGAGGCAGGCAGGAAAGAGACTGCTCCTCAATACCCACCTTTATGAAAGTGTTCCCACCTCCAGCATACCTGTTCTCAAAGAGCTCCCACTGGAGGCATAAAATCTCTAGATCCCCAAGGTGAATATCTTGCCATGATCACCATCATCTCCAGAAATAAGAACCATTTAAGTGGGTGTGAGAATAACAGGGGGCTTGGTACCAAGTTTCATTCATACCAAATAGCTCTTAAAAAGTCAAGAGGACATAGTGTAATTGAATTTCTAAATTATTTATGAATAAGCCTGCAAGCATGTCAGAGTAAGTAATTAACTCACTTTGTAATAAACTATTTCACTCTTCTCTGTAAATAGAAAGTGAGTTTGGCTCAATGTTTATTCACTGATATGACAGATGAAGCACTGGGCTAAACATAGATGCAAATACAAATATAAGTAAAACATGAGACCCCCACCTAAAACTTACTATCTTGTTGGATGGAAAAGAAATAGACATTTTGAGATAAATCAGAGGGAACCAAGAAAGGATTAAATTGCAAGCTTCCTTGAATGTTATCTCTATTTGCCTTAAATTTTCATTTACTAGTTTATAGTATATTATGTCTGTATTATATGAATTCTGCCATTTAGTCAATTATGTTAGAATCAAAGAATCTGAGCTAGAAATATTCTGCAGGTTTCCTCCCTACTCTGTCCACTCTTTGAGTTCTATTTATTTTTCTGATTAATTTTGAGAATTTTTCAAAGGATATGATTAGTGGGTAAGAATAAAAAGGGTAAATGGTGTTTTACTCCTGGTATCACTGCACTCCCAGGATGGTCATCCATCAATGCAGTGCTATGTCAGAAAAAGTAAATGATCTTTGCTGTACCCCACAAAAAAAACATGACATTGCAAACCAGTTATCCATCAACCATAACAAATTTGGAATCATCCAATGGACCGTGCTTCCCAGGGCAGAGGCCTACTTGTGCTGCTTCACTTCTGATCCCAGCTCCTTGCTGAAATAGTTTTTCAGCATATCCACCAGCTGCTCCTGCAGGGTCTTACTGCCCATGAGCCGCATGGTCAGCTGCTCGACATTCGTCCAAGGCAGCTGCCTAATGATGGCAATGGCATTGATAAACAGCCTCCCCTGTTCGTCAGCCGGTAGCTCCATTATGATCTGAGGAACTGGCTTAAACTTTCCACTCGTCATCCATGCACCTAACAGACCCCCGACGGCTCCCCCAACGGCTATTCCTGGTGGACCGCCCACCAAACCACCCACAAAGACCACAGTCCCGGCCACTACGGCACCCAACCAGGAGTACTTGAAGACCGCCTTCATCTTCCTCTTCTCAGAGATGGAGCACAACAGCCTCATTATGTCCTCCACTGAGACGCCAATGCTAGGCACATAGGCCCCATTCTCTTGGGATCCTCTGGGAGTCCTCTGGGGTTTTACGGTCTTCTAACTCCTCTGAAGGACTTTGTTTTTCACAGGAAACTGGTCTTCAGACAGGATGTGGTCAGTGATGTTCTTCATTCTGTCCTCCGAGTGGGCAGCGAAGCCCTTTAATTTCCCTTGCTCAGACTGGACATTCACTGGGACAACGAAGGACAGAAGACAATTACCTACAGTGCCTGCTACCATTTGCACCCTTTATTCCTCCTTCTTATTGCTCCCATGCTTCAATGCCTGCCTGATCCTCCTCACCCATTACAACAAGCTGTATCCCTTCCTTCTTTGGAATTTTCCAGGTTATAAGGCAAGAAAAACTGTCCTATTCCTTTGTGATCATACCTTGTACCCATCCCCAGATATTTCAATGATTTCCCACCTCATTTGCCTATTTCCTGTCCATACAAAGTTTGTCAGATGTCAAGATCCACTGCAACTTGGAATTGACATGTACACCATTGATCCTATGTATAAAATAGATGCCTAAGGAGAACTTACTGTATAGCACAGGGAACTCCACTCAGTGCTTTGGTGGTGAACTACATGGGAAGGAAATCCAAAAAGCAGGGGCTATATGTGCACATATATCTGATTGAATTTGCTGCACAGCAGAAGGTAACACGACATTGTAAAGACACTATGTGTGTTGTGTGTGTTTGTGTGTGTTTGTGTTTGTGTGTCCATGGGCATATACACATGTGCTTAGTTGTGTCTGACTCTTTGCATCCCTATGGACTGTAGTCTGCCAGGCTCTTCTGTTCATGTGATTTTCCAGACAAGAATATTGAACTGTGTTTTCATTTCCTTCTCCAGGGGATCTTCCCAACCCAGGGATGGATCCTGGCTTTCTTGTGTCTTCTGCTATGGCAGGCAGTTTCTTTACCACTGAAACACCTGGGAAGCCACATGGGAAGACACTATACTCCAATAAAATATTTTTAAAAATTAAATACAATTACAAAGTATTCAAAGATGTACACCACATTTCCAAAGAGAGTTTCTCAGATCTGAGAACCTAATGAAATGCTCACAGGGCTTCCTTCTTGAATATGCTACAAGGAAATCCTGCTTAGAAGATGCATCCTCTGTCTTGTTAGTCTCTTTTTTAATGTCCCAATGGTTTATAGTAATAACTCATGTATTATAGTGACACTATGTTCAATATAGGTGGAATCAATATAGGGAGGAGAAACATCAACAACCTCAGATATGCAGATGATACCACTGTAATGGCAGAAAGCAAAGAGGAACTAAAGAGCCTCTTGATGAGGGTGAGGGAAGAAAGTGAAAGCGCTGGCTTAAAACTCATATTAAAAAAAACTAAGACCATGACATCTGTCCCCATTACTTCATGGCAAATAGAAGGGAAAAAGGTGAAAGTAGTGACAGATTTCCTCTTCTTGGGCTCTAAAATCACTGTGGATGGTGATGCAGCAATGAAATCAGAAGACCTCTGCTTCTTGGCAGGAAAGCTATGGGAACCTAGTGTGTTGAAAAGCAGAGATATTACTCGCCGACAAAGGTCCATATAGTCAAGACTATGGTCTTCCCAGTGGTTACATTCAGTTGTGGGAGCTGGACTGTAAAGAAGGCAGAGCACCAAAGAATTGATGCCTTCAAACTCTGTTGCTGGAGAAGACTCCTGAGAGGACCTTGGACAGCAAAGAGGTCAAACCAGTCAATCTTAAAGGAAAATCAGCTCTGAATACTTGTTGGAATACTGATCCTGAAGTTGAAATTCAGCTGTTCCAATCAGATGACTGAAATACTGGACTCACTGGAAAAGTCCCTGATGCTGGGAAAGATTGAGGGCAGAAGGAGAAGAGGGCATTAGAGGATGAGATGGCTGGATGGCATCACTGATGCAATGGACACGAACTTGGGCAAACTCCAGGAGATGGTGAGGGACAGAGAGACCTGGTGTGCTGCAGTCTATGTTGTTGCAGAGTCAGACACGACTTGGCAACTGAACAACAACAATAATGTTCAATATTTGGGCTTCCCAGGTGGCACTAATGGTAAAGAATCTTTCTGCTGTAATACTAGAAACTATAAAACTCTTAGAGGAAAACATAGGCAGAACACTCAATGACATAAAGCAAGATCCTCTATGACCCACCTCCTAGAGTAATGGAAATAAAAACAAAAGTAAACAAATGTGGCCTGATTAAGCTTAAAAGCTTTTGCACAGCAAAGGAAACTATAAGCAAGGTGAAAAGACAACCCTCTGAATGGGAAAAAATAATAGCAAATGAAGCAACTGACAAAGGATTAATTTCCAAAATATACAAGCAGCTCATACAACTCAATACCAGGAAAATAAACAACCCAATCAAAAGTGGGAAAAAGACCTAAATAGACATTTCTCCAAAGAAGACATACAGATGGCTAACAAACATGAAAAGATGCTCAACATCACTCATTATTTGAAAAAATGCAAGTCAAAACCACAAGGAGATATCACCTCACACCAGTCAGAATGGCCATCATCAAAAAGTCTACAAACAATAAATGCTGGAGAGGGTGGGGACAAAAGGGAATGCTCTTGCATTGTTGGTGGGAATGTAAATTGATACAGCCACAATGGAAGATGGTATGGAGATTCCTTAAAAAACTAGGAATAAAACCACCATATGACTCAGTAATCCCACTCCTAGGCATATACCCTGAGGAAAACAGGGTTGAAAAAGACACATGTATCCCATTGTTCATTGTAGCACTATTTACAATAGCTAGAACATGGAAGCAATCTAGATGCCTATCGACAGATGAATGGATAAAGAAGTTGTGGTACATATACACAATGGAATATTACTCAGCCATAAAAAGGAATGCATTTGAGTCAGTTCTGATGAGGTGGATGAACCTAGAACCTATTATACAGAGTGAAGTGAGTCAGAAAGAGAAAGCTAAATATCATATTCTAACACACATATATGGAATTTAGAAAAATGGTTCTGAAGAATTTATTTACAGGGCAGCAATGCCCTGTACAGACATAGAGAATAGACTTATGGACATGGGGAGAGGGGAGGAGAGGGTGAGATGTATGGAAAGAGTAACATGGAAACTTACATTATCATATGTAAAAGACAGCCAACGGGAATTTGCTGTATGGCTCAGGAAACTCAAACAGGGGCTCTGTATCAACCTAGAGGGGTGGGATGGGGAGGGAGATGGGAGGGAGTTTCAAAAGGGAGGGGATATATGTACACCTATGGCTGATTCATATTGAGGTTTGACAGAAAACAGCAAAAGTCTGTAAAGCTATTATCCTTCAATTTAAAAAAAAAAAGAGAGAGAAAATCCTTCTGCCAATGCAGGAGACTTAAGAGGCATGGCTTTGATCAGGAAGACCCCCTGAAAGAGGGCATGTAAACACACTCCAGTGTTCTTTCCTGGCAAATCCCATGGACAGGGGAGCCTAGTCAGCTATAGTCCATGGGGTCGCAAGGAGTCAGATACGACTGAAGTGACTTAGCATGCTCATGTTCAATATCACTTGCTCATCTGTATTTCCTGTGTTTTAAAATTTACCTGTTGCAGAAAATGATCTCTTCCTTTAATCCAGTCAGGGTTCCACTTACAGAAAGTAAGAGGCATGTCTAAGTCTTAGTTCAAAATTCTGAATGTGGAAATTCTAATACCTATCTTGTCACTGGACTGCCTCAGAGGACCTCTTCCAGGCTTCATTTAAAAATATCTTCCTAATCTAGATGCCACATTTCTTTCCTGAAGTCTCCCTCTCCTGTGCTAAGCATTGCCCTGATGCCAAGTTCCTTCTGAGTGTTTATATTCTTATGAGGTTAACAGCTCAGGTCATAAAGAATATAGGATAATAGAGTTATGTGAACCTCTCTCTGGGGACTAGAAGGAGGTTTAAGAGCCCTGGATCCCTAAACAAGATAAGGGAAATGGGAATCAAAACAGTGTTTCCATAGTTTGAAGTTTTGCCAGCCCTGCTGAGCACAAAGGCTACTCCCACTTCATACCACATACCCTACCAGTGGCCATGGCAAGGTCTCAATACCAGAGAACTCAGGAGCCCAACAACCAGGTCCTCTTCATAGAAACTTACTTCACATTGCGTAGGTATCCATGCCTGTCTCCTCCACTTCCAGATGTCTTCCTGGCCACCCCATCTCCCCAGCACTGTCCCTCATGCACCCCTGAGAGCTCCATCAAATCTCTGAGGTCCTCTCTCTTTCCCCTTCGCAGTATCAAATCCCAACTTACACCATGGGTGGCAGCCATCTCTGCACTCAAGAGAGTAGAAACGGGAGAGAGAGCAAGGGAACTGGCCTCCCGTTAATAGAAGCAGCTAAGTTGGAAATGCCCTGCTTGTCTGCTGTGTGTGACAGGATTTTCTGGATCCTTTTTTCTTACAATTGCTTTCACTTTCTCTACAGCGGATTCCGTAAGCAGAAATGTCATCTAATCAAGCATGTCTCCGTGCAGCTAATCCATTGCCCTCCTTGTTCCTAATGTGAGATGACCCTTTTCTGTTGGAAATTGTGTGTTTAACCACCCACCACTCCCAATCCTGACTTTATGTAGCCCTGGACCCTCAGTGGCTGGAAGAATTTGAACACTCTGTGGTCCTCTCCAATGCTTTTAAGAACCCTACCGACCCACGACCCCTCCTCCTCCTGCCAGCAGTTAGGGGTCTTTCTGAGAGCAAGGGTGCCCCGGAGATGACAGTGAGAGTTGCTGTGGGTGATGTGACTAGGAGCAGCCTGTTCACACCAGCCTGACAGAATGTGTGAAGGAGGAGGAGACATAAGGAGGAGCAGGAGGAGCAGACATAAGACACGTAACCCTGCACTGAGAAGAGACATGATTCCAGTCCAGGGACACCACCTGCTGAATTAACTTGGGCAAATCTG